ATATAATCCCAGGCAGTAGATTCACCAAGAAATGTAATCCCACCAGTGTCACCACTTGTAAGGACAGTTCCACCTCCTTTAATAAAACTGAACACTGACCTGCCAGGTAAACAGAGCTGCGTTCTGGCAGCTGGTACGGTTCTTGTGGGCTCAGAGAGGGAAGCACTCTGATCAGACTTCGGCTTTACAAAGGTCGCTCTGTCTTGAAGCGTGAGGGGTTGGGGAGGAGGGCAAGGCTACTGAAGGGAGACCCTGTCTGCTTTGTCCCAGCACCAGGCCTGAGCCTGGCTCGCATGGGCACTCAGTCAAAGTGGAAGGGAGGAGGGGAGCCAAGAGAGTAGGGGGCCTGGAATCCACAAGGGGAAAGTGTCGGGGGGCAGGAGGGAGTGTGTTGTGGTCACTCTACCGAAACAGGGTGGACCCCCACCCAAAATTCGGTTTGGCTATGGAGACTGATGGCACCACACCAACCAAGAGCTTATGAAAAGGTTCCTGAGGCTTTCTGGGGAGAGCAGGGCAGGCACCCAAGCTGGTTGGAAAATGGCTTGAGAGGGCCTGGAAAGGCGACTGGCAGGGCTCTTCGTCATGGCTGCACCTGGGGCCAGGGTGAGGGTTCCTGTGTGTGGCTCCAAGTCCCCTCTGGTGCCCAAGGAGGGAGCACCAAGGCTTTCTCATCAGCTTGCCCAGAAGTGGGGCATGAGGGGACAGGCAGGATGAGGCTTCAAAGCTGACAGTGTCAGACATCCACGTGCGGAGCCAGACCCTTTCTTACAGAGCAGTCAGCTGCACTGAGCACTGATGAGAGGAGGCAGTGCTGAGGTGGCACACAATCTTCACGGGGCCTATGGGCTAAATGTGTCCCTCCTGAACTCATATGGTGAGATCTGAAAGCCCAAGGTGATGGTATTGGGAGATGATTGGGTCACGAGGCCCGCATGAATGGGGTCAGTGCCCTGATCAAGGAGGCCTGAGAGCTCCCTCCCCTCCCCACCACTTGATGACACAGCGAGAAGGTGACTGTCCGCGACCCAGAAGAGGCTCCTCACCGGAACCCAACCCTGCTGGCACCCTGATCTTGGACTTCCGGCCTCCAGAACTGTGAAGAAATAAATTTCTGTTGTTGATAAGCCACCCGGTCTGTGGTTTTCAGTTACAGCAACCCCAACAGACTAAGGCAAGGACTGGGGTGGGGAAGGGCAGTCTCGTGCAGCAGGGGCTGGATGCAGGGGGCTAAGGGCAGAGCAGATGGGAGGCCAGGGAGTCCGGGGACACAAGTGGCTTCAGAGACGTGGAGTTGAGAAAAGTGGGCTGGGCGGGCAGAGGGCAGGGGGCTGGGGAGGGGGACCAGGAGGGAGGATGGTGAGAGGGAGGAAGCTCGAGCAGCTGCCCGTGCTGGCCCAGAAGGTGCTGGGGGAGAGGGGAGAGGTGGGGAAGAAGAGGGGACAGTGGAGCGAGGTTCTCAGGTAGCAAGAAGGTGCCGAGAACAAATGGCAGGACTGACTCGGAGGAGGCTGCTCTTGGACTGCCTGCAGCTCAGGTGAAGGCCACAGGGGAGGGGCAGGCAGGGCGGGCGCTCTGGAAATCGCCCCCTGCCTTTGAAGACCACCAGGGCTTTCCCACTGCCCCGCCCGGGCACAGCCTTTTCTCTGCCCCTGGAATGCGTCTCCCCCTTCTCTGCCTTGTCTTTTGAGCTTCAGCCTGAGTCCCTCACTCGCTCACTCACTCACTAGATGACAGCGCTGTTGTGAGGAAGAGTCTGTGGGTCCCACAGCACAGAGGCGCGCAGTAAGGGTTAGACAAGGAAGTGTTGGCAAATATCCTAGAATCCTCTTCTGATACGATTGTCCGCCCCAACTTAACTGATCGTCTTTCTGTGCTGCACCTGGAGATGATCCCCAGGGGAGGTCAGGGGAGAGGGGGCGAGAGGGGGGATGCCACATTTGGGAGTGGTGACAGGTGGCAGGGAAGGGAGGGCCCCTGTGGTAGGTGTGGCTTGCCAGTGGGAGAGGAAGTACCACCTAGAGGTATGCTGGCTCCAATTGGTGGTGAGTGAATTATTCATTTACCAACCACTGCGCCCAGGCTGCCTGCCAGGAGGGTGCCCTGTGACCCAGGGCTTTAAAAATTAATGTGTTCATTGAGTCATTCCCTTGACTCACATTCACAGGCACCTATTACTTGCTGAGCCCAGACTTTTCCCACCACAAAAGGCCCAGGGGAGAAGGAGGAGTTCAAGCTTCGCTGTTTAACTGGCAAAAGAGTGGTGAGGGAGGTGACAGGCAGGCCATGGGCCAGGGGCCAGAGGGAAGAGTGATATAATTTGGGTGTGTGCATGTGTGTGCACGTCTACACCCCTGTGTATGTGGGGGGAGTACCTGATGTGCATGTGCGTGCATCTGTTTGTGTGTGAGTGCATGGGGCTGTGTGTAGTGTGCACGGATGTGGGAAGCTTGGAGGCAGTGGCCCCATCCCCCAAGACCCACAGCCTCTTTAGGCGGGTGCTCCAGGCTCTCTGGGTTTCAGCCTTGGGCCAGGGAGAGGGTGGCGCTGCTCTGGCCTGGGGACAGACAGCACTGAGAGTGCTCAAGGCTTGACAGAGGCAGCAGCACAGGGGGCTGGAGGCCCTGAGCCCCTCCACACACGCACACATGTACGCTTGCACAAAGGTACTCAGCCCAGAGGGCCTGTGCCTTGCCTCAGACAGAGGGAGCTGGCGAGAAGGATGTAGGGCAGGAATTCCTTCACTAGGTGGAGCATGTGCAAAGACCCTGAGCTGGGAGACCACACCTTTAGGGAGTTGCCCGAGGCCCTTACCACGAGTGGCAGGGTGAGACTCCGGGCTGGCCAGTCGACAGGGTGACTCCACAAAGGCCTTGGGCTTTATTCTGAGGTGAAGGGGCCCTGGAGAGGGTCAGGCAGGGCAGGCCCGTTCAGCCTTGCATTTTAGGAAGCTCACTCTGGTGGCTTGTGTTGTGGGCTGAACGGTGGCCCCCAAAAGATACCCATGTTCTCACCCCAGGAACCCATGAATTCCACTTTATTTGGCAAAAGGGTCTTTGCAGGTGTGATGAAGTTGAAGATCTCAAGTTGAGATCGTCCTGGATGGCACAGGTGGGCCCTAAACGCAATGGCAAGTGTCTTCTAAGAGACAGAAGAGGAGAGATATACACATAGGGGAGAAAGCCATGTGAAGCTGGAGGCAGAGACTGGCATAATGCGGTCACAAGCCAACGCATGCCCGCGGCCACCAGAAGCTGGAAGATGCAAAGAGGGATCCTCCCCTAGGGCCTCCGGAGGGAGCATCACCCTGTTGACTCTTTGATTTCAGACTTCTGGCACCCGGCACTGTAGGAGGATGAATTCCTGTTGTTTCAAGCCACCCCATTTGCGGTCATTTGTTACAGCAGCCCGGGGAAACTAACCCAGCTGGTGTGGAGAGAAGACAGGAGCCTTGAGGAAGGAGATCAAGGCTGTCCCGGGCAGCGGTGGGGTGGGGGGGGTGGGAGGTGGAAACATCAGGATCGTCCCTGGGGTCCAGTCACCAGGGTCCAGTCACTCCGGCAGAAGGGCTTGGGAGCAGTGGCTTTTTCCTCCCAAAGTTCCCAGCCCTCTCACATCCCAGCAACTGTTATCAGAACTGTCCCTCCCTAGCTTGTTTCTACATCCCTAACGCTTGATGCACAATTTCCCGCTTGTGGAAGACTTAAACAAAATGTGGGATGGCAGTGTGAACAGGATATTCAACAATCTTCATTCAGCAAACACTTATTAAGCTCCTACTGTGTACCAGCCTGGAAAGGCGAGCAGAAACCAGATTCCCAAGGGACGCAGGGCCGCTGGAAAACCCAGAGACCAATACCCTTCATGCCCTCATTCTGTGCACAGCGTTTCCTTCGGGGCGCTCGGGCAGACCTGGATTCGGGTTTTATGAATTCTGACACGGAATCACACGCCTTCTGTCGGGAGCCGAGACGCCTCAGCTTGAGCTTTCGTACGCGCCCCTCGACCAGGGCTTGGCAGACGCCGCCAACTGCCCCCGTCCTAAACTACGCTGGGCCACCAGTCTGGAGCGACACCTCGCTGGGACCGCAGGGACTTGCAGCTCAGGCGCCCGGAGGTGCCCTCGCGCCCCAGCCCCAGTCCCGAGACCTCGCTGAACCCTCGCGGAGTGGCCCGGCCGGTTGCGCCCAGGGTGCTGCGCGTGACCTCCGGGGTCGGCGGAATGGCCCTGGGGCCGGAGCGCGAGGTTCCCTCGGGCGGGGCGGCGGGCGGCGTCCCGGGAGGAGGCCGGAGGCGTCCAGGGGCGGGGCGGGCCACGCAAACCGCCCGGCAACGTCGGCCTCTGCGTCTGCGCCTGCGCATTGGGCCGGGCCCACCCCGTGCGCGCAGCCGCGCGCTCACCCGAGGGAGGGAGGGGGAGGAGGGGGAGGGGGAGGGGAGGGGAGGGAGGGGAGGGAGGGGCGGCCGGCCGGGGGGCGGGGGCCGGCGGGGCGGGGCGGGGGGGGCTGCCGCGCCCGCCGCGAGGACCCCGGAGCCGGCAGCGGCGCTCTGGGGGCGCTGCTCCTTCGGGGGGGCGGCCGGGCCGCGGAGCCGGCCCCATGGAGGCCGTTGGCCCGCAGAGCTGTGCAGGAGGGGACGTGGCGCGGGGCGCCGAGGGGCGGCCGGCCCCCGAGGCGAGGGTGCACTTCCGAGTGACGAGGTTCATCATGGAGGCAGGTAACCCCGGCCGGGGAGAGGCGGGCCGCGCGGCTGGACCGGCTGGCCGGGGCCGCCGAGCCGCGCTTTCCCCGACCCCGCCGTGGGAGGGCCGGGCCTCCGGGACGGCGACCCGCTCCCCGAAGAAGGCCCCACAGGACGCGGCGCGGGCGCGGCTGGGCGGAGGGAGAGGCCGCCGGCTCGAGCGGGGGCCCGGAGGGAGGCCCGGCCTCGCCGCCGCGCCCTGCGTCCCGGGCCGTGGGCTGCGGGCCGCCGCGGTCACTGCCACGGCGGGGCTGGCGCGCAGGCCCTGGCAGAGAGCTGCCGAGGCCGCGGCCCCGCTGGCAGGCGGCCACCCCTGTCTCCCAGCCTGCGGGGACACTGCGTGGCGTTCGGGCTCACGGAACCTCTCGGAGCCCGCCGTTGGTGAGGCTCGTGACCAGTCGTGCTGGGGAGGTCCCGTCGCCCCGAGCCCCGGGGCGGCTCGCGTTCGGAGGCCCGCCACGCTGTGCGCACTGGGGTCGGGCGCCCGGCTCTCCGGCTAGGCGAGGCAGCCTAGCGGATCCCGGTAGAAACATTGTTTCTCTGTCAATAGTATCTGGCTCGGCCGGCAGCCGCTTATTTCCGATCTTTGTTACTGTGTTACTCCGAGGCAGAGGGGTTTGGGTGAGTCTGCTTTCAAGTCAAGGTGGGCCGCGTCTGCGGAAATAGTGCAGGACCGTTAATCCCAGTGATTTGTACATTTAATTTCCAAGAAGAGTTGTGAAGTGTAGAAGGAAGGATGGCAGTGTCCCCTCGTATGCTGCCACCCATCTGCTCGGAGGGTCCGCGTAAACCAGGGAAGCTAGCCGTCCTCTGAGGGAGGCTTTGCTGTGTAAAACGAGACCTGGAGGGCCACGTGCAGCTCTACGACCTTATCTGACATCTCTGAAAATGCGGTCCGTGCAGGAACTGTGTATGTAACTGAAGTTTAAACCTTGAAACGCTAAAAGGTCTTTAGGTATCACTTTTAAAAGACTTGTTTACAAAGTGTATTGCATATACCCTCGCCTTCTGCGCCAAGCTAAATACTAGTCCTCTCAGGATCTTCCCATCCTAATCCCTGGGATCTGTGGCTCTTACCTCATGTAGCAAAAGAGATTAAGTATCTTGACATGGGGGAACTCTCCTCGATGATCTGGTGGGCCCGATGTAGTCACACCATCCTAAGAGAGAGGCCGGAGGAGTGATAGGCAGAGGAGAAGGCTGGGTGGTGAGGGAAGCAGAGGTGGAAGCTGCTGCACCACTGGCTTTAAGATGGAGGGAGGGGCCACGAGCCAAAGACTGCAGGCATCTCTAGAAGAAGGAAAAGGCAAGGGAACAGGTGCTCCCCTGGAGCCTCCAGAAGAACCAGCCCTGCTGACACCTTGAGCCTAGGCTCCTAAGACTCATTTTGGACTTCTGACCACCAGGATTGTAAGAGAAAATAAAGGTGTGTTGTTTGAAGCCACTGAGTTTACGAAAGTCTGTTCGAGCAGCCCTAGGGAACTAATGTACCTTCTTAGGTGGCGGATGTTGAGTGGAATCCTAATGATTGTTGGTTGCTTGTTCTCCACCTTCTTCTTTCAGCCTATTGGAGGTCATGTAAACTTCGCTTGCTAACCTGGCCACTGTGAATCTGTTTTGGTTCTGTGACCCGATGCAGTGCTTTCCTTAGCTGCTGTCTGGGGCTGGGGGCGGAGGATGGGCTTTAACTCCCAAATCACACCACCGAGCTCTGGTTCTTTGAGTTCTGTCCCCTTTTCAGCATGGCAGGCTTCCTCCCTGGTGCCTGGCTGTGGCCATGGGCTCTACTTTTCTCCTGCTCTGCCCTGGGTTGCCTTTGGCGGTCACCGTGCTAGCTTTTCCTGCTTTTTCTAATCTACAGACTAGGAAATCATTGCTGAGCATAATCTTGACCTGTAGCATCAGGACTGTGGTGTCTGATGCTCAGAGGCCTTTGTTCCCTCTTGTCATCTTGGGAGGATTTTGGTTAGGTGAGCTGCAGGGGCAGGGGCAACCTCTAGTTAAATGTTTGCTAAGGCAGAAACAGACACACAGCAGTGTGTGGTCCTTTCCCAGATGTTGTGCAGAAGCTGATACACCCAGTGCTAACTGAGCAGTAGTCTGAGCCTTCCCTCTCCTAGTATGGTCTGCACATCTGTAGCTAGAGCACGACCTGGGGCCTTGGTAGAAGTGTGGACTCTGCAGAGCCACTGAAGGAGGTGCTGCCTTTGAGCCCACCCCTCTCCCCCCCCCCCCCCCCCCCCCGCCAGGGGCTGGCTAGTCCTTTAGAGTCTGAGAAGCCTGCCTCTAAACCCCTCCGTAGAGGACCCAGTGAAAGACCCACTGCCACTGCCAGCCAGGCTCCAAACTCTCGGTCCTGTCTGAGCAGGGATGCGCACCCTTGGGGCCCAGCACAGCGGCTCCCCTCACCCTTTCACAGTGGGGGAGCACTGGGTTTAAGTCCTCTCCTGCCTGCTTTCTCTCGGTAGGTGTCAAGCTCGGGATGCAGTCCATTCCCATCGCCACTGCTTGTACCATTTATCATAAGTTCTTCTGCGAGATCAACCTGGATGCCTATGACCCCTACTTGGTTGCCATGTCTTCCCTTTACTTGGCCGGCAAAGTGGAGGAGCAGCATCTGCGTACTCGTGACATCATCAACGTGTCCAACAGGTAACGGCTTCTGGGCGTCTACCCCGATGGGAGGGCAGAGAAGGGTCCCACTGGGCCTGCCCTCCAGACTCTAGTAGTCAAGCTCGGAAGGAAGCACCTGAGTGGCCTTGAACCAGGCCGGAAGCACTAGCAGCAAAGGCGAGAACGAGCCTGGTGGCAGAAGCCCAGGGGCGTCTGTGGGAGAGAAGCTTGGGCCAGAGGGAGTGTGGAGGGGGGTGGGTAAGAGAGGGTCACTGGGGTGGGTGGGAGCACAGCTGGAGCAGAGGGGGCTTGGAAAGGTGTATCAAAGAAGATTCATCTGGAATCTTGGACAGGACAGATGGAATCAGTTGGGTTCTGTGGGCCCTGCAGGTCAGCCTGCCATGCAGGAGAGGGTGTAGAGCCAGCTGGGCAATCGTCTTATTTAAATGCTGTGAGGAACTGAGTCAGAGTTGGTAAGGAGTGTCTCTCACCCCGGTGTGTGCACAGTTGTCTGTGTGCAGCAGCGCTGGGCCCAAGCAGCCATGTACAGTGAAAGACTAAGAGAAAAACAGAAGAGAGGCCTAAGGGTGGGCAGCTGGGGTCCCCCCGTAATTGCTGGGTCTCCAGCAGGAAGGCTGCAGAAGGGGAGATTGTGTGGATCGGTAATGAGATGTGGGCACCCGGCTGGGGTTCTGTGGGGAAACTGGAAGACGAGTAAGGAGCTAGGAAGGCTGAGTCATCGGCAGAGGATTTTGATCACTTGAGTGTGAATCCTGTTCTCGTACATCTTGATGATCTTGGGTGGGTGGGAAGGTTGTGGATGTATCTGGTGTAAATAAGGACAGAAAGATTTGGAACGAAGGAAAGACAATCTGCGAAACGTGAAGCTGAAATACATTTACTCTTTTGGATACATCATCCCCACGATATGTTTAGATCCCCTCCTTGAGCCCAGAGTGAGTGCCCTGGGCATTGCCACCCCAGGTGATGAAGACTGTCCTGCTGCCAGGCTGACTGTACCCGGAAGCATGACCATGACCAACCCGGCGTGCCAGAACTTCTGGTTCTCCTGGAGCAATTGCGGAGAGCCCATCTTTACACTGGACATCTTGCTGAGTGATATGGGGCAGCCCAGTGGGGCTAGAACTAGAAGCTGGCATCTTTCTTCTGTTGGTTTTGGTTTTTATCCTGAACACTAGACGTGTGGACAAAGAGGGACTTACACAGAGGGAGAAGGGCCCGATGTTAGTCTGTGGCCAGAGGACACTGGGGTTTGTATCTGGGCATCGTGGGACTTACGGGACTCTTCCTCAGGGCCCCTCTCTGGTCGCCTTAAGCATGGTCGTTTCTCCGCAGGTGCCTTCACCCAGGCAGCGAGCCCTTGGAGCTGGACTCCCACTTTTGGGCGCTCCGGGACAGCATCGTGCAGTGTGAGCTCCTCGTGCTGAGAGTTCTGCGTTTCCAAGTCTCGTTCCAGCACCCACACAAGGTGCGTGCTGGGGAATTGACAACTGTGTCTTCAGGCACAAGCCTCTGTTTTTCATCCTGAAAGTGCACCCCTCTAACCCCCGGGAGCACATGGGCTCCTGACTGCTCCTGGTGCGGGGCTTGGGCGCCCTCTCCTGGCCTGCTGCGGACTTCCCTCAGGCAGTTCTGATTCCAGCATCTGCCTTTTCGGCTCGCCTGGCTGTGGCCACAAGCTGGAGTCTGGGCCACCCTCTGAAGCAGTTCCTGTGACTGGTATAGTCTGTGTGCTCAGTGAGCCACAGGGGAACAGGGCTGGTTTCCTGACCTTCCCGAGTCCCTGTCACCAAGAGTTGGTGCTCTGCCTCGGAGCTCGCATGCAGCTCCACTGTGCTTAGAAACCCCGCACAAAGCCAAGTTGCTCGAGTTCAGTAGCACACTTTAACTGCTAGGAACATAAGGGCCCAACAGAAGAACTGTTTCCAACAGCAGCAAAGGGACACGTGAAACCCTTAGAGCACTTGGATGTCATCCTTTGGGGGCCCCAGGCCCCTGTGCAGGCAGCCTGGAAGGGTGGCCTGCAGAGAGAGCGGGGGGGGGGGGGGGGGGGGGGGGGGGGGGGGGAGGGTGTGTGTGTGTGTGTCACATCCTGCTCTGTGCCAGGATTTTGTTTCTTTTTCATTGAAATTTTCATTGAGGTGATTGTCGACTTACAAGCAGTCAGAGGAAATAACAGAGATCACATTTGATATGGAGCCTTTGCCCAGTCTCCCCAAATGGAAACATTCTGTAAAACTTGAATACAATGGAACAGGCAGGGTGTTGGCATGGATGCAGTCCCCCTGGTTCGGGTGGTTACTTGGTTGTGTGCTGTGCCTGGGAGGTGCTATGCAGTTGTATCACGTGTGTATCTTTTTGTATCCACCACCACAGTGAAGATACAGAATAACTCCCTCACCTCAGCGGTCCTTCATGTTGCCTGTTTTATAGTCTTACTCCCATCCTTCTAAACGCCTTCCTAAATCCCTGAAACCCCTGGTGGAGATTTCGAAACCCTTGTGTTTTCGGTCGGCAAGATGGTTGACAAACACCCAAGGGGAAGGCAGGAGTCGCCCTGGCTCTGCCGGGGGCAGTCACGGCACTGAGTCTGGGGAGGAACAGTGCTCAGCTGGCCTCGGGGACTGTTGGGCTGGAGAGCGGGGCTCCTCATGGCCAGGAGTCCGGCAGCTCTCCCTTTGCTCTGGGTTAGGATGGGCTGGAAAGCAGCCAAAGAACCGCTGCCTCCTCCAGGCTGGAGTCCCAGGTCCATGTGTTCGGGCCACTCGTGTGGGCTCAGCAGTGTGTTCAGTAGAGTGTGAGTTTTGGGCAAAGCAGCTGCCTTCCCGGAGCGGGAGCTGGCAGACGGCTGAGCTGGAAGGTCATGAAGAGTTGACAGCCGAGGACGGCACTGCTGGGGAACGCAGTCCCCGGTCTCTAGTCCTGAAGGCAGGCATCCTGTGACCACTGACCCCAGCCTCGGGCTGGGTGCAAGGGCACACTGTTCTGTTCTGCAGATAAGGCTGCTGTTTCTGGAGCTTTTCTTTGAGTCGGGCAAGGGGATGAGCAGAATGATTTCCGATGGTGGCCAGAGCAGGGCCACGTGATGGAAAAGGATTGAGGTGGGGGTGGCCATCCAGAGTGGCCCAGGCAGGTTTCAGGAGCTGGGCCTGGAGGATGAGAGTGGGTGGGCACGTGGGGACTGGAGTGGGCATGAGATGATTTCAGGTGGAGGCAGCAGTGCGTGCCATGGCCCTGAGGTGGAGCGCGCCTGGTGCCTTCAAACACAGCGGGAGGGTGAGGTGAGGGCGAGGCAGGGCTTGGAGGCCAGTGGAAGGCACTGGGGCTTTTTCCTAAGTGACACAGGGAGCTGTTGGAGCGTGTGAACAGGGAAGTGACTCGATCCCATCTGTGTTTTGTACACATTGAGACAGCTGAGGGGAGAGTGGCTGGCGGGTGGAGGGGCCACCGTGCTTCGCAGTGAGGAGGCAGGCAACCGGGGGCCTGAGCCCCGAAGGCCAACTGGCTGACTGGCATGTCTTTGCAGTACCTGCTCCACTACCTGATTTCCCTCAAGAACTGGCTGAATCGTTACAGCTGGCAGCGGACCCCCGTCTCCGTCACTGCCTGGGCCCTGCTGCGGGACAGCTACCACGGGGGGCTGTGCCTCCGGTTCCGGGCTCAGCACATAGCCGTGGCAGTGCTCCACCTGGCCCTGCAGGCCTATGGGGTCGAGGTGCCCGCCGAGGCTGAGGCCGAGAAGCCATGGTGGCAGGTGAGGTGACTGCTCAGTGCACTGGCGTGTGTCCCCCTTTCCATTGCCTAAGGACTTTCGGAAGTTCCTGTACCTGGTGTTCGTGTTTCTTTGTGGTAATTATCCACAAAGAAAGATGTGGGCTACTTGGGGATGTAGAAGCTTGCAGATGCCCTGTCACAATAGTCTAAGGCAGAACTTGTTCCCCTTGGCATTGTGGACACTGTGGCCGGATCAGTGTCTGTGCCGGACCATCCTGGGCACTGTGGGATGCTGAGCAGCATTGCTGGCCTCCACCCATCAGATGCCAGGAGCACCCTCTCCACCAGTGATGACAGCCAAAATGTCTCCACACATTGCCAAATGTCCCGGGGTGGGGTCGCCCCCAGTTGAGAACCACTGAGCTCAGCCAAGCACTTTTATTGGCTTGAGTGCGAGCTTGTTGCAGATCAGAGGTTAATAAACCTGGCTTCACATCAGAACAAGTACAGTCTTGCACTGCATCATGACGTGTCGGTCAGTGACAGGCTGCTTACACGACGGTGGTCCCATGAGATTAGTACCATGTAGCCTAGGTGTGTAGTGGGCTGTACCATCTAGGTTTGTGTAAATGCACTCTGTGATGTTCACACAATGACAAAATCGCCTAACGATGCATTTCTCAGAACGTGTCCCCGTCGTTAAGTGACGCAGGACTGTGTAACGGGTGCTCTAAAAACATGGAGGCCGATGGACAGGTAGACAGGTGATAGCTATAGACAGATGCTGGATAGATCGGTAGGGGGTGGATGGGGGGATGGACGGATAGATGGGTGGATAGAGAGATGAGACTGATGAGTGATTGATGGATTCCCCGGCCTCCTCCAGACCTACTGAATCCAAAGCGTAGTTTGTAGAGAGCCAGTTGAGATCTGTCCGTCGGAAGGGCGTTGCTCAAGGACTTCTGCAGTCCTGTCCGATTTTCCCTGAGCAGTCCCCCTGCTTCTCAAAATAATGGAATTTAGGGATCATTTTCTGTTTTTCCTTTCCCATGCTTGGAGTTTGCTCTTCCTTTCTCATAACACCTTATTGTCTGGCCTTGTCCTAGAATGAGCTTCTACGTAAGCTGACTTTGAGATTACTGAAGGTTTCTCCTTTTTGTGCCCCACCCCTCTCCTCAAACCCACAGTGGCCAGAAATCTAAAATGTGTCATCTGTTTCCTGAACTGAGGGTGCCCCCTTGGTGCCTTCCTGGGCCCACACCTGCCCACCCCCCGCCTTGCCCCACATGGTGCCTCACCCTTTCCTGATGCTCCCTCCCCCTGGCCTGCTTGCCCTCCCTGGGAGACCACAGCGTTTCCTCCTCTTTGCTTTGCTGTCCTTTATTGCCTGTCTCATCCCCCACACAGCAGACTAATCGCAGAGACAGGGTCTTGTCTGCTTCATCACCTGCCCCTGTCCGGTGCCTGGACCGGACACACAATCGGTGCTCACGTGTCTTTGAACAAACGCATCTGCAGCCCCCATCTCAGGGCAGACGCAACCCCCTGGGAGCAGTGTTGCGGTGAAAGGGCCTCTGTGTGGACAGAAAGGATTGTTCCATACTGGGGCTTCTTGGGGACTTCTAGATCATGTGACTGCAGTGTCCCTGCTCTGTTGGAATCTGGTGTGGCAGAAGGGGCTCCCCACTGCGCAGCCCTGCTCTCTGAGGGCATCTGGTGGGCATGGTGGCCCCTGTTCCTCGGCTGCTTGCATCTGTGATGTCGTGCTTTGTTCCCCATCGTCCGTCGCGGCTCTCCCCCATGTGTCTGCCTTTCTGCCCTCCTTTCTCTTCACTGGGTGGCACTGCGCCGCCGCTGCTTCCTGCTTTCGGCCTCCTGACAGAAGAGCGTCGGCAAGCAGCGATGCCATGGGCCAGTTTTCTGGGCAACACAGACTTACCTGGTAATTGCTAAAACTTGGAAGAAGTGGCCCCTTTTGGAGTAGCACACTCATATTCACCCAGCTCTTCACCTTTTCTGGAAGGCTCTGGGCTGCGTGCACCAGGAGTGTCCAGAATCCTGGCACCCTTTGGGCTTGAGAGGTGCTCTGGCCAGCTGCCTTGCGATGAGCGGCTCCCGATGGCACCCCTGCCTGCCCAGCCCTGGGACGCTTATGTGTGATTTGCGAAACCCTCTTCCTCCTCGCATGCTCTCGGCCGCCACTCCCTGCAGCAACCGCCTCTCTGTTGTCGCTTGTCTGCTGTGGGCTGGGGCTTTGCCGTGCTCGTCAGGAGACTTGGCAGAGCTTGTTGTGCTTCCCTGCCAGAAGCCTGCCTGCACGCAAGCGCGCTAGCGGCAGGGCCAGCCTTTGTGCCAAGCTGGGTTGGGCCTCTGGGTGGACGAGGCGCTGACTCTAAAGCAGTAGCGCGTGTCAGAGTTTCCCTCCTTTTTAGAGCTGAGTACTATTCCATGGGATGGATGGACCACATTGTGTTTGTCTATTTCTCCATAAATGGACACTTGGGTTGCTTCCACCTTTTGGCCATGGACTACTTTGTATTTTTAATGGTCATTTCTCAGCTTGGGGTCTCTAGGAGCACACAGATAGTGGAACCTGATGAACAAACCCATATTTCTGAAATATTTCTTTTCCACCTAGAGTCCAGGGTGAGTCAGCCAATCTTCCTGAGCTCTGGCTCAGGGTTTGCAGGTCACTGTCTCCCACCTAAGGTGGTCACCTGTGGAGGGTCCTAGCTTTCTTTGAGGGCTGTGGACATGGAAGGGATGGACTCAAGTCCAGTTTTTGCCCTGGCTCAGCCCAAGGCCTTGACCCTTGTGGTACCTTGGTTCCCCAGGCAGCAACCCCTGGGCCCAAAGGGGCTACGGCATCCAATCGAGGGATCCTTGTTTTGTTTTTTACTTCCCATGTGGTCAGGGGACCCCAAGAGCAGCCTCAGGCCTGATGCTTCACTAGGAGGACTCTCAGAACTCAGAAAAGCCATTGTCCTCGTGGTTATGGTTGTTCTGGTTAATTACAGTGAAAGGATACAGGGTGAAACCAGCAAAGAGAAAAGGGGCGGTTGTAGGGCGGGTTCGGGAGAGACCAGGCAGGAGCTTCCAGGTCCCCTGCCAGTGGAGTTGGGTGGCAGCACAGTTTCTCCCAGCAATGACGTGTGACAACATGCACGGAGTACTGCCACCACGGAAGCTCCCCTGGAGCCATGGTGCCTAGGGACTTTACTGGGGCTGGGTCCTGTAGGCCTGGAGCGCCCGAGGGCCTGACCTCAGTTACTCAGTCTCTGTGCCCTGGAGGTCAGGCTGCTGTGTGCGGCCCAAGGCCCCACCACAAATCACGCTGTCAGCATAGACTGCCTGGCAGGGCCCTTGGCCCGGGCAAACCAAGACCTTCTCATCAGGCAGGATGTGCCAGGGGCATAGAGGTCCCCTCTCAGGAGCCGGGGGTCAAGGCCAGACCTTCCTTGGGAATGTGCAGGGTTAGCCCCGTGCCCCTAGGGACTCACCTTACAATTTTAAAGCTCTCCAGCGCGGTCAAGAGGTTGTCCGGTCCAGGCTGTAGAGCAGTCCCGGTGTTCCCCAGGGGAAAGCCTAGGGTGGGGTGGGGTCCAGGTGATCTACCCTGCCTATTTTTGGAAATGGACTCCCACCCCCTCCTCTCCCAAGATCCCCAGAGACCCTAGTATTGAGAGAGTCCTTGGGGAGGCAGGAACCGGTGCTCCAGGTCCAGCTCTGTCACCTACTCCCTGTGTAACCCAGGACAAGTCTCCTCTCCTATCTGGATTGGATGATCACCAAGGCTCTTCCGTCTGGAAGGTTCCCTGCTTTGTGGTCAGCCTTGGTAGGCTGGAACTGAACCGGCTTTGCAGAGAGCCAACATCGTTTCTGATAGCCAAGTCCGCGGGCTGGCCCCTGCAGTGTGAGTCTGTGCTTAGTGGGAGGCGCCTCGGTTAACGCAGAGGGAATCTAATCAGCCTGTTTTCCTTCTCCTTTCTAGGTGTTTAGTGACGACCTTACCAAGCCAATCATTGATAACATTGTGTCTGATCTCATTCAGATTTATACCATGGACACAGAGATCCCCTAAGGCCCTGGTCCAGGCCTCCCCAAAGAGAAGCCCGGACGCCCGGCTGCCTGGGGACGGCGCCACCACATCACCGTGACGCCCAGTCCCCAGAAGACCGGCTGGGAGGACAGGTTTTGTGCTGCTGGAGACGGGCTGGTGAAGGCGATGACATGCTGCCGCTTTGGTTCTCATGCTTTGACTGGCCCCGGCAGCAGTGGTCCAGACGCTGGCGGGGCCGCGCCTCCAGTGGTCAGGCCGGGAGTGCGCTGTGTGGGGCAGCCCCCAGCGTCCACGTCTGCTTTTGTCCTTTGAGAGGATACCGACTACAGTTGAGATGTGACGTCATGGGAAGGAAAATCAAAGAACAGATGGGACTGCACCCCTGGGGAGTTTTTAAAAGCCAGATTTAGAGGAAGTATGAATGTGCAACATAGATGGAATTTTATTTTGTGTAATAAAAGATGATACAAATCAACGGAGACACCCTGTCTTTGCTCTGTGGCCCCTTGTGCTCCTGAGGCATTCTTGGGTCAGGCCCTCCCTCTCTTCCTGAGGGTGTGCTGGCACAGTGTGTGCCCATGTCACGGCAGCGTCCCCTAAAAGAGCCCACGTGTCCTCACTCTCCCTCCACTGGGACGTTCACAGGGCTTGGCAATTGTCCTGCTTGGAGAGTGAGCATAAATTTTGGAAAGAGGAGTTAGGGGGTATCATTTGGGTTCAAAAAACCCAGATCTGACCAACATGTAACTAGAAAGTAATAGACGGGATGTTTGAAATGTCAAGACAGTGAGTCTAGATGGGGAGTCTAGAGAATCTTAGAGCTGTGGCACCCCGACTCCCACTCAAAAGGCCTTTCTTCAGGAGGGCCTGCTCTTGGGTGCCTCAGAGAAACAGAGCAGCTGGCTTGTTCCCCCTGGGAGCCCCCACTGGGCTCAACGCACACTGGCGGGACTGTTCTTCCACATGCGGCGGTAGGGGAGCCGGGGGACTGGCCAGGCACTTCCCTGAGTTTGGGAGGTTCTTCCCAGGGGATCATGGGCTCAGGAGACCGCCGTCATGCCTTCCAGCACCCACAGGAATGGAGGCTGCGGGTCCACCAGGGTGCTTCGGAGTGTTCATCCCTGCTTGGGGGCACAGGGAGGGGTCACACACTGGTGACAAGTGAGGAAGTGGGGCTTGCTTGAGTTTACGAAGTGACTGTGTTATTTGTCTTCAGGGCGAGGGGTCCGAGTAAATGTCTCCTTTTCTACTGTGTCCTTTTCACGTCTGTCCACCCAGCTCATTTGGGAGCCCTTTGAGGACAGGGTTGGCATCCAGGCCCAGGGCCAGCACTGGGGCTCTGAGCGTGGAGTGTGGAAGGTGAAGGGCCCAGCCGGCAGGCCTCCGAGGGCAGCTTCGGCTCTCTCGCTGGTCCTTTCTGCCTTCTGCTGTTTGAAGAGCACCTGACTGCCGTCATGCCCTTCCTTCCTGCAGGCCAGGCCCAGGCACCGCCCAGCCACCCCCGGCCTTGCCTGCCGGGTGTTGACTGGGCACTGCCTTTGGCCAGCGCTCATTGTGGATTTGAATGGAACTCAGAGACGGATGTGTCACTTTTGGATTCTCTGTCTTTGCCCCGACAAGATCACAGCTCCTATAGAAGCTTCCAATTCTTTGGATCTCCTCAGGTTCAGCCTCCAGCGAAGCAGCCGGCCCCACACACTTGACTTGAGGCAGTTTTCTTAGCCCTCAGAAAGCAGAATCCTGCTCTGGATGGGAGGGCTGCGTGGAGGGGGGGGGGGCGCAGAACTCTCTGGAGAGCTCTCTCTGACTGCGCCTGGTCCAGTCTGCTCCCTCCCCGCCCCCGCCCCAGGACTTAGTGGAAAGAAGTGGGGGGATAGTTGGATAAAGCTCCCTAGGGATTCCATGGGCATCCTGCCCCCAGCTAGAGCCACGGTACTGAGCCAGGGAAGCATGACCCCAGAAAGCTCTGGGCTGCTGGGGCTCCCTGCAGTCTCTGGAGATTTTGTGGGTCTAGGTTTTCTTTCATGATGACCGAATATTAGGCAAGTTCCTTTCTCTCTATGGGACTCAGTTTCCCACTTTGTAAATTGAGCAGGTTGGACCAAGTGATCTCAGACTGTGATCGCCGATTGTGTGCCTGTCATACTGCCCTGAGGACTTGCTGGGCCTGTCATCTGAGCACTTGTCACACAGGGCCCATCTGTGTGTCTTCCTGATGCAGCAGGGGTTGAAGCTCCATCTTCGGTGTGTGTTGTCATTGGAACAGAGATGAAGAAAAAGTATTGAGACATATGTGACACTGGGACTATGTGACATGGTCAGCCCTGCTTTGTAAGGACACTGAATTAGTCAGTGGTGCTAACGGTTTTGTTTGTTTTAGCTTCCTATTACTGAGGCTTTTGTAGAAAATAATGGAGATTAAACAAATACAACCTTCCATCTCCTTTATTTCAGGTTCAAAGAGGTCAGCAATGAGACACTGACATAAGATTTTCTAGAACCTGAAGCTTCCAGGAGCTTTTCAGTTCAGAGCACATCTTAATTACTGTAAAGTGATAAATGGCTGAGCCTTACTCGGCCTGTCAATGGGTGGAAGGAACTGTGATGGAGTGAATGGTGTCCCCCAAAAGATGTGTCCACATCCTAACCCCTGGAACCTGGGCACGGGACCTTATTTGGAAGTAGGGTCTTTGCAGATGTCATCAAGGGAAGATGAGATCCTACAGGAGTAGGGTGGGCCCTAATCCAATATGACTGGTGTCCTTTTTTTTTTTTTTTGGTGAGGAAGATTGGCTCTCAGCTAACATCTCCTCAAACAACATCTTCCTCTATTTTGTAACAAAACATCTTCCTCTATTTTTACGTGGGACGCCACCACAGCATGGCTGATGAGCAGTGTGTAGATCCGTGCCAGGGATCTGAACCCATGAACCCCGGGCTGCCAAAGTGGAGCACGCAAACTTAACCACTATACCACCAGGCCAGCCCCAACTGGTGTCCTTTTAGGAAGAGGAGAAGAGACACAGAGACAGACAGGTGCGGAGGGAGAGTGCCATGTGAAGACACAGATGCACAGGGAGAAGCCATGTGATGAAGGAGGCAGAGACTGGAGTGATGTGTCTGCATGCCAAGGAACACCAACGCCTGCTGGCGACACCAGAAGCTGGGAGAGACAAGGAAGGATCCTCCCCTAGAGCCCTCGGGGGGATCAACCCTGCCAACCCCTGCCTCTCAGACTTCTGGCCTCCGGAACCGGGAGAGAAGACACATCTGTTGTTTGAAGCCCCCAGGCTGCAGGCATGCGCCCTTGCTCCTAGGCACCACGGCTGGGGAAGATGGCAGCCAGCTTTGTGCAGGGTGGGTGTTGTAGTGCTCCCTGGCCCCAAGCCATCGGGCTAAGTATTGATTTCTTCCCATGGGAACCTGTGTCATATTTGATAGCGGAAGTCAGTGGAAAAGAGAGTGCACAGACACAAATGAACGAGTCTTTCGGGGGAGCACAGTATCTCTTTATAAGGTACCAGCTATCTTGATAGGGCGTTTTGCCCGATCTAGACTTACTTAGCCTTATGGCTCAAGATGGATTTGCTATTTTTCTCCTTTCTTGGCAGCTTCCCCAGAAAATGTGTCCTCTGGCACTGCCAAGTCTAAAACGGTGATGTGTGGAGAGGAGAAATAGAAATGTGAGGAAACGAGATGCAAAGTCTTGGCGCCATGGCCACAGTAGTCATTTGTAAGTCTCGGGCCAGAGCTGCCTTTGTCACTCTGCTGGTGAAGCAGAGGGGATGGGCCACGGAGCACAGATGTTCCTACTCACAGGTGTTCAAAGACACCTGAGGAGTGAAGGAATGAATGGGGGAATGACCCACGGAGCAAGCGAACGAGTGAAATAATGGGTTTTCTTTCCGTGGCTTTGGGTTAAAGAGGACGTCCGTGACTGGACCCCTTGTGCACTGCTGGTGGGAATGTAAGATGATGCAGCTGCGGTGGGAAACACTTGGACAGCTCCTCAGAAAATTAAACACAGCATTCCCATATGATCCAGCAATTCCACTTCTGGATATATACCTAAAAGGAATGAAAGGGGCTCAAACAGATGTTTGCACACCCATGTTCACAGCGGCATGATTCACAGTGGCAAAAAGGTGGAAGCAACCCAAGTGCCCATCGACAGGTGAACGGATGAACAAAATGTGGTCCATCCACACACTGGAATGTTGTTCCGCCTTAAAAGGAAGGACATTCTGACCCGTGCTACAACCTGGACGGACCTTGAGGACATCATGCTATGTGAAATAAGCCAGACACAGAAGGACAGCTGCTGTATGATTCCGTCTGCATGAGGTCCCTACAGCAGTCAGATTCATAGAGACAGCAAGGAGGACGCAGGTGACAGGAGGTAGTGGTTCATGGGGACAGAATTTTAGCTTGGGAAGATGGAAGGTTCTGGGGATGGATGTGTCAGGGTTCTGGCGTTTGCGTTGGTGTGCTGACGTTGATTTGTTGTGATCATCTTGGGCCCTCCGCCCCCACCCTTCTCTGGGGACAGCGGCCTGGACATTCACACCAGGCCCTTCCAGGGCAAGACAGTTAGAGCAGCATCATGCGCATCTCCGCTCACAGCGCCTCTGCCCCTTCAGGCCAGGGCAGCCTCTTGCTGTTTGTTCCACAAGGTTTGGAAAGGCGGCCACACCCCCAGGGCAACTCTGCCACTCTCAGCTCAGCGAAGCGCATGAAGACGCCTCTCTTTTGTTCTGGACGAAAATTCACCAAATAATAAATCACACACGTTACCCAGACCGGGATTGTAGGAGCCTTTCATTTTTTTTTTTTTTTACACAGAAATTTTGGTCTATTCTTTAAATTAGGAAGTTCAACTACAGACTTTAAATTATTATGCATCTGTGGTCTTCCTCATTAAGATATTTTTGTTCATCTTTATAACAGGCAGATAAAAATGTAAAACATACTTAATAACTGAACGCAGTTGACCAAGCCATTCCAGGTAATATAATGCTTTAGAGAGAGGGGCTGCCTGCAGAGCCAGGCCCCTCAGCCTGAAGCCTGCGGAGAAGCCAGAGCCGTGGTCCGAGCTCCCGGCGCCCCGTTTCTGAAGCCCACGCCCCGCAGAAAGGCGACCTAGGGACTAACGATGGACACTTTGTACAGCAGCACTGAGGGAGCTGGATGTTGGTCTATCAGCGCGTCCACAACAGAGAATGAGAAGAAGCCCGTGAGTGCGGCATTATGCAGCGTATCTTCTTCAATTTCAACATTTCCAATTTTATTTCTTGTTTAAGAACACACAGACCCTCAACAAATTGAGTTGCCCTTTTTGTTGTTGTTTAAACGAGGACATTAGGGAACAATTTACAAATGGGTGACATTCTCAATGTGCCCTTTGGAAAAAAGGGATGGCTTTGAGTTATCTGTAGCTGGCATTTTAAGTGGGATTTTCTTTTCTAACCGAAATTCCTTTGCCTGAGATTTGACTACTCCTGCTCAGGGGTGACATGACACTGATGTTAATGTGGGCACCCAGAGTGTTGGACGTCGGCCCGGACACTCACAGATGCAGGTGGTGGTAGACGAGCCCCTGCTGGTGGGTGCTGGAGAGGGGACGTGATGGGCCAACCAGCCTTGCCACCAGTCCAGCTGCTGCTCAGCTGCTGAGCATGCGCAGCCACACCTACATCCCTCAGCTCCCAGCTGTACCCTAGTGACTCAGCCCCGCGCACAAGCGACAGGCACGTGTGGGAGCTGTGGTCAGACCCCAACAGCCTCCCTGCAAAATGTGAGACAGATGCATTCAGAAGATAAAAGAACCTCTGCTTTTTCTGCATTTCCCTCTCTGTTAGCATGCATTTGGGGGAAACTGAGGCTTGGCACACTGGGTGCCCACACTGCAAGGAGAGGCTTCCGAGGGAACCGTCTGGGGAGCCCAGGCCCAGCTCTCCCCGCCTGCAGACCAAGTGCTCAGCTGACGTGGTGGCGCTGACCTCCTCAGCCTTCTGGACTCTCAAGAAAGAGCCACAGGTTGATTAGAGGCACAGCAACGAGGTGCCATCGCTCCCAGGGGCTTCGCTTCTGCATCCGCTTCCCCAGTGTCATATAGGTGGCTGCAGACACAAATCCACGCCTTTGTGGGTCATATTTGTCCTTAAACGAGAAGACTAGGGTCGGAAGAGTGCTTAGGCGGCTGGTGACTGAGGACCTTTCCCAGTCGCTTTAGAGGTGCCTAAGTGACAACCTCTTGGCCTTTGCCAAAGCAAAAAGTGTTAATCCAGGCAGCAGCGCCGAGGGGGCTGGGGTCTGCGCTGTGCCCATCAGCTCCTCTTCCTCTGCGCTTTCTGTCTGCCTCGAGGCAACCCGCCTCCACCTGGCTCTCCCGCGGGGTCAGGCGCTGCAGGGGGCGGTGCTTCATGCTCTTGAAGTTGGGGTGGGGACAAAGAGAGCCCACCAGCTAGAATTCAGGACTTGGAATTGGAGTTGAAACCAAAAAAACTTGAAAACAAAACTCCCCCTTCCACCCACTGGAGGGGGTCATTCTCATCAATACTTTGGCATTTTCCTTTGAAATACAAAATTCCATTGAAAGGTTTTTTCCTCTGTAGGCAGGGGTCTCAAAGTGCAAACGTTCCGACTGTAACTGCTCCCACCCCGAGCCCCCCCATATTCTCCTCCAGACACTCACGGGTGACATTCCCAGGAAGTGTGCCCGGAAGACCCGGAGGAGGGACGGTGGAAGGGAGCAGAAGGCGGGCATGTTCCCAAGCGACCAAAAAGATATTCTTGCTGTCTAGTTCCCTGAAAAAACCCTGCCTCAATAAATAATGAAATTTCAAAATGAAAACACTTGATAAGAAGAATGGAAGTATCATGCCAATAAATAGTTCCTTATTCTTTAAATCTGCATCGTCATACATGTACGCATATGTCTATACGCACACACACATTTCTATGCACACACGCACATACATACAGACTGCACACGTGTCCTGGGAAGGGCGTGCTCGGCAGGGCAGGTACATTTGCAGGCAGTTCCCAGGGGTGAGCTGTCTGGGTGGGGGCATCCTTCCCGGCCCTGCAAATCAGCACTTGCCTTTTTTCTTTTTGTATGAATCTATCGATCCAGTTGCTCACGAGTGGGTGCAACGAAGCTCCCAATAAACCGAAACCGGCCCCCTGCCCCAGCGCATAGCCCAAACGGACAACATCCGGTGGAATTGGAGTGTTCATTAAAAAAAAGCCTTGATAGAAAAAAGGGGGGAACATAGCTCTTCTGGCTCTCTAGTTTCTCCTTCCTCCTCCTCCTCCTCTTGCTCCTCCTCCGTCTCCTGGGTCCGGGTAAGAAGCCTTGAATGGACTGGCTTCCTGCAAGTGCCATGGCCGAACCCTCCTTGCAGGCCTGTGCTGCCCGCCCGAGTGCGCATGTGTGCGGGTGTGTGCGTGCCAAGAGCAGTTCTGCTTAGAGGGACGTCTCCACGCTGTGGAGCGGGCTCCCGGGTCTGGAAGAAAACACTGACGAGGTAGCTGACTTGGTGCCGTGCGTGGTCAGGTAGATGCCGCTGTCTATGGCGTTGTTGTTCTGGTTGGGGGACGGAGGTGGGGGGGCCCGCAGACGGTCCTCGTTCTCGTCCACGTCCGTGTCATCGATGAGCGGGATGTTGTGGGTGTAGTCATTGATCAGAAACTCGGGCGTTGCCATGAAGTTATGGATGGAGGTCTTGGATTCCGGTTTCTCCAGGCCTTCATAGAGTGAGCTACGGAATGCTTTCACCACCCGGATCTGGATCAGGAGGTAGAGGGACAGGGGCCCGAGGTGGGAGGAGGGAAGTAGGGAGGGAGGGAGGGAGGAAGGAAGGAAGGAAAGAAGGAAGGAAGGAAGGAGACAATCAATGGCCGGCTGGTGCTGGCGAGCTCCGTCCTCGTCAATGGCAGGGGGCACTGCATGACAAGTGTTCAACCATTGGACAAGAACATTTGGGGCAGCTCTACCTGGCTGTGGTGAGGGTTTTCAGGTTTGGGTCTCAGTCTCATCAACTGATCCACAAGCAGGACAAATGGCAGTGGCTCTCTCTAGGCCGACCTGGACAGATATTCTGGAACTCAAGTGATGGACGCACTGGACTCTTGGCTCCCCTTTCCCTGCACCGGCTTAGGTGACCCCTGGGCTCTTTGCCAGATCTGAATTCCAATTTGGTAGAACAGAAAGATGATTGGAAAAGGGACAATGCTGGAGAGAGAGCTCTCCACTTCCTCTTACCAGAAAGTCGGAAGGACTTGCTGGTGAGAGAAAGTCCCCAGCCAATGGGCACATTGCTGGCCTTGCTTGAGTGGGTCTCTCTCCCTGGCTTCTCTAGGGACCTCTCCTCTGTCCCCTCAGGTCTTGTGGCCGCAGCCAGCACCTGTCACGGCCAGACCCATCTGGCCACCAGTCTCCCTGCTGCTAAGCTCAGCGGCCACTTCTCTGTCTCCATCTTATTTGATCCCTCAGGGGCACTCAACACAGCAGACTGCCCCTCTTTCTGGAAACTCCTCCTTGCTTCCCTGAGATTGCCCTTGCCTGGCCCTCCTCCTACCTCGCTGGCTGCACTGGCCCCGTCTCCTCCACTGCTTCTTCCTCTGTCCCAGGGTGCCTCGGGGCCCTGGCCTGGTCCGGCCCCTCCTCCTCTCTGTCCACATCCCCAAGCCCATCTTCTAGCCCTGCCTATGGCTCTGGGGCTCTTCTGGCTATAACCGCGGACTGTGACCCAGGTCTCTTCTCAGAGCTCCAGGCCCAAGAGCCCACCAGGCCCCCATCTGGAGACAAAGACTGAAAATGGTCCCACTTTTGATTTGCGCCCACCAAACCTGTCCCGCTTGGATGCCCTGAGGCACTGTGGCGGTTCCTCGCGTCACCTTTGGGCTCCCTGGCCTGCAGCTGGGTGCATCTGATTAGGTTGTCACTGCCCTTTGCAGACCCTTCCTGCCACCAGAGGCCCTTTGCAATCTGGTGCTCCCTGCCCCTCCAAGCTCGCTTATCCTGTGCTCTCCTCCTTCTCTTCACCCTCCAAGTCAGACAATTTCTGTCAGTCCCTGAAATCCGCCAGGCTTTTCTACACCTTGTTCCCTGGTTGCCCTGCTGGCATCTACAGACCTCAGCTCAGCATAGCTCCCCACAGAGAAGAGCTTCCCACAACGCCCTGTTTTCAAGCCACTGTGGCCCTCGGGCCCAGCTGAACTCAGGCACCCCCTGAGTCCCGCACCTGCAGGAACCTGCTCCCAGAATTAGCTCCTCGGTTTCTTTAGTCCCTCCCTCCCCTGGCTGCTCCACCCTCTCTTACATGTGCTCAAGTCTCATAGGGTTTACAAGCCAGAGAGCTGCTGCCTCTTTTGGTCCCTCCCTAGTCCCCCAGCCTGGGCTCCCTCTTGCTTCTAGAAGCCAGAGTTGACGAGAAGGCCTCTGCTGGGCCCCACATGAGCCACCTGGCCATGTGCTGGGATGAGAAGCCAGCCCCTCCCTATGTGAGTGTGTGGACACAACACGAGTTCTAAAGTCATTTCCAGGCCCAAGGTTCTAGGGTTTGGTTTTCTTGGTGTAGACAAAGTGTTGGCAAACTGTGGCCCAAGGGCTAACTCTAGCCCCTAGCCTGGACTTTTGAATAAAGTTTTACTGGCATGTAGCCATGCGCATTCATTTATGCACTGTCTATGGCTGTCTTCGAGATCCAAGGGCGGAGCTGTGTGCTTGTGACAGGGGCCTGGCCTGCAAAGCTGAAAAGCCTGACCCTCCAGCCTCGAGAGGAGAGTCTGCTGCTCCTCGATTAGACCATGAATCTCACTGTCGACAAGGAGTCCCTTCCAACCCTCCGGCACCTGGACCTTGGGGCCGGCCTTGCTCAGCCCAGCTCAGTGCTCCCAGATCAGTTTAAACCAGGCCGGCCTCGCAGTCTTTGGAGTGCAACAAAGGGGATCAAAGAGCTCCAGAAAATCGATATTTTCTAACGTCATGTCTTAGATCTAGTTAGGGTTTTCTCTGAATTTGGGGAGCCACAGCTTCCTGATAGCAGATGGCCACTTATTTGCACTCAGTTCCTTAGCTCCCCCAGACTGGCTTCGGAGATAGGGGTAACACAGAAACTGGGAATCATTTGATATTTTTAATGCAAAGAAGTAGAATTCACTTTTTGTAGCCATTGCAGATGTGGCCTCATTATTTGGGCCTCTTCCAGTGGGGGAGCCACGGCGGTGGCAGAGCACCTACTCCAGCTGCTGGCCACACCCCTCAAGTCACAGAAAGGAAAGCAAATTGCCCTTGACCCCTGGGGCCTCTGTGGTAAGTATGCCAGCAATGGTCCGATGACCCTGGCTACAACCTTTCCACTCGCTGAGCTGGTCCCCTCACTGCAACCTGGGTCACATGCTCAGGCCAGGCCCCTGCTCAAACCCATCCTCAGGTCTCCTTGCCCCTGGCTGAACTCCAAAGTCTTCGCCCCAAAAGGGTGGCCACCCCTCCCCTCCCCAGCTTCTGCTGCTCTGGCCTGGCTGTCATCAAAGACTCACTTTAACAGCAGTCTTGTCACTGGCCTCAAGGAGAGGGATTGTATCTGCCCCATTTACTGCTTATTCTTGGAGCCTGGCACAGAGCAGTCGCTCAGTCATCAACAGAGGGTGCCAGGGCCGCCCGCTCAAACCTTTGACTATTTGGGGCTCTAAGCTCGCCTCGTGTCATCCTGAGTCTCTTCCAGCTTTCCTCCAGGTCCCATTTCCCCACATTCACATCTCGGGCTATTAACAAATGGTTTTGTATTGGTCTCATGGCGGGGTGTTTCCAGGCCACCCAGCGCCGAAGGGCACAGTCAGTTCCTGGGACACTAGCGCTAGTTTGGTGAGAACCAGCAAAATGTTTCTGAGGGGAAGGCCTGAGCCCCGGAGGCCTGAGCTCACACACGGGGGCCGAGGACGTCCTCACAGTGGAGTTTAGTGTGTCCCAGTGAAAGCACCATCAAGGCTGAACGGAGCCAGCGCCCTTGTTGCCTCCTCAGGCTCCTTGCCCAGCCTGGGACCATGCCAGAGGCCCAGGGCGGGGTCCTCAGGCCATCACTACCTCTCCATCACTACCACGCCATCACTACACTCCCAAAGAGACCTTGCTGCCCTCAAAGCTGTCAACGCCGCGCACAGCCCACAGACTGCCTTGAGACCATAAACGCCCTTGGCACCACCTCCGCCTGAGTCTGCAGCCACGGCCCACCCCCCCAGCAGGCCAGGCCTACGCACTTGCTGCTCCTTCACCTCCCCTCGGATGGCTAATGGGCCTCTCAGGTTGAAGGAGGCCGAGGGCAACCCTCAGCCTTGCCCCCACCGACCCTGGCCCTTGCCTGGTCTGCCTGCCCCAGCTCCAGATGGACTGTGGAGGCACCTCGACCCCGACCCCAGTACCAGACATCAATGGGTCCTGTGGTCCCTGGTTCCCAAACCTCTTCACTGCTGCCACCATGTCTGCCGGGGTTTGGAGGCCCCTCGGCACCCCCACCAAGGGCAGAGACCCTGCCTGCCTGGTCCCTTGATCTTTCCCGGCTCCTGCCTGCATGGCCAAGGTGACTTTTCTTTGACCTTTGAGCCAGACCCTGCCCTCCTCCACCTAGCAGGTGGGGACTCCGAACATTCCAGCAGGTGATGGAGCTGCTCTGAGTGCCAACTGCGGTGGTGTTTGCCCCAACCTGTGCAGCGTGGGAATTCATCCAACTGAACCCCCCCCCCCCAAGGTCTATTCTACTGTGGGGCAGTTTAAGAGTAAAAGACAGACATGAAAAGCACGTCCCCGTGAAGATCACTCCTAGGGTCACAGCCCGGAGGGCTGGGAAGGCCGAAGAGGATCAGCTCGGGCTGGGGCTGGGCTCTCGCATAACTTCCATCTCACTCAACATGAGGCCGACGTGCCCCCCACCTCCTGGCATCCGAGACGTGGCCCTGCTTCCTCCTTCACTGCCCAGGCACCCCATCCCAGTCCCCGCACCCACTCAAGGATGTCGCCCAGCCATCTGGCTCTCCCTTCTCTAGGTTACTTATCTGTTCCGTCTTAAGAGAGACCCTCACAGCCTCCACCTTATTTCCCCCTGTTCTCTTCTGCCCCCACTCCCTGGGCACCTCCCCGGCTGGGCACTCAGTACTCTGCACACCACACCCCTGCTTCCCCGCTGGACACAGTCTCCGGGTCCTCCTCCTTTCTCTCTCCATCATCTCATGTCCCAGGGCCCCAGGGCTCGTCTTTGGACCTTTTCTCATCTTTGTCTACAGCCACACATTTCTTATCTCCCCTGGCCTGAAATCCCAGCTGGCTGCTCACAAGTCCCACATCTCTGTCTCCAGACTCTGGGCTCCACTTGCCTCTTCAGCTTCACCCCTGCCCCATGCCTCTGCCCTGGTCTCTCTGCTGCTGCCCTTGACCTCCACAGTCTATTCTCAGCATGGTAGCCAGAGCAATCCTTTCAAATGAAAGCCAGAGCTTGTCACCCTCTCCACTGGTCCAAACCCTTCAATAGCTGTGTCTTCCTCGAAGGAAAACCTGAAGTCCTGCTGGGCCTGCCATTTTCTTCCTCTTCCTCCTGTACTCTCCCTAGCATTGGCCTCCTGGCTTTTCCCCAAGCACATCAGGCACACTCCTGCCTCAGAGGCTTTGCATTGGCTGTTCCCTGTGCCAAGAAGCTTCCTCTCCAGTGAGCCTCCTGGCTTCCGCTCACCTCCTTCCCTATTTACAGTCACAACTCCTCATCTCCTCTTGCAGCACTGCACCTCTTCTGCTTC